CTTTTTATAGAACTGGTTCGTATGGTAAAATCTGTACACACTTAAATGTTTAGACCCGCAAGGTGCACCTATGAGAATACAAAGGGCCGTATGTGGTATAAAAGCTGAACGTAAACGTATATTATGTATATATATATATCTATATCTGTATCTATGTCCATATCCATATCTATATCTGTATATATATCTATATCTATGTCTTATCTGTATCTATATCTGTATCTATATCTGTATCTATATCTATATCTATATCATATTATATTGGCACGCATCAAACATACAATTAAGGCTAAGTTATCTTTCTCACTTTTTTCTCGTTGTACAACTTTGCCTCCATGCGCTTTTTATTTTCTCGGCATATGTCATTTACTGTATGTAGCCTGTGGTCAAAGGTAGCCTCTGGCTCAAGCAGCTTGGACTATCTACTTTCCTTCTAACTATGTGTATTATGTACTGTTCTACACTCAAGTTAGCTTCATTCCCAAGCAGTATGGGCTATGTAGTTTCTGTATATATAAAAATATGCCATGTTTCACTTTCAAACTGCACGGGCTTTGTAGCTTTCGTATATAATGTGTATTCCCTTTAGGCGCACATCAGTTTTTCTCTGTTCCTGATATGGCACAATACAATCCCTTGCCTTTTGCGTATTCATATTGCACACGCCATCTGAAGACACATCCTACTTCTAAGTCTTTCGGGGCACATGTATGCAGTGTTTGTAGTGGAATCTATTTCTGCTGAAGTTGTTTTATTTTGTATTGTAAATTTTTTTACTCAGTCATTCTTCTGCACTTATCTTTTGCCCGCAGACGGAATTAAGATCATGACAGCGCACGAAATATGGACGACCAATCCAGTATGTAGATCCACGAAGCAAGCCATGTATATATGTAGCAATGGCGATGTACATTGGTTTGTTGTATTTTTAGTGAACATATACATTGTTACGGTACTCGCGGAGATATACATTGGTTTGTAATAGTTACCAGGAGAGATACACATTATTTGCTATAAAGATATATTTTTGTTTGCAGTAGATACTAGTGGAGATATATATTGTTTGCTATAGCACTCGTGAAGATATACGTTGTTATAGTATATGTACGTGTGATTATATACATTGTTATGGCATATTGTTACAGAATGATAACTGTATACTGTATATAAGTGCATTGGAGTTGACCTGTAGCTTACAGAGAGATATCATAGGATCATTGACATTTGGCTGTTTTTCGCAAATGCAGGATTTCTCGTGGACACGTATGAGCTGGCTGCTGATGTTGGACGGTGTCACTTACTACGGACAGAACATCACGGCATTCTCGGTGTTGTTCCTGGTCTCACCTGTCTCCTATTCGGTACGCACATACATAAATCGAAAGTATAACTCACTGAGATATGTACATAGCTACATCGATTATATGCATACATACGTATGCTACATATACCATAGTGCCCCATATGTATTGACGTTGGACAGTGTCACAAACTACACTATCAAAATACTGCGTTATACTCGGTATTGATTCGTCTCCCCTGTCTCGAGTTCAGAAATTTGTGTAAGTAGTCACACAGAGATGACTGCACTGATGATCCGTGCATTAACGGCAATTTCGTAGATTTCGTCAATGACCAACGCATTTATGACGCAGGCTCGGAAGGCATGCTTGTCCATGCTCTAGATGGTCCACACACATATATATATATATATATATGTGTGTGTGTGTGTGTATAATGTATATATATATATATGTATATTTAATATATGTATATGTATATGTATACGTATATG